GCAACTGTGGTGGAATGTGAACATTTCTATTAAGTATATGAATAGATACTATTTTTAGTCATTATTCTATTATGTAAAAATTGCGTCATCATGACTAACTTCCTAGCAGTAATTACTGCAAATGGAGAAAGAAAGAAAATGATGTTAATGGTATTCAAATATTCACCGTAGCTATAGTTTGGAAAATTACTTAGATGGCACAGCAAGCGTAATAGGTATCTCTGACCATATAGGTGATAGAATAGAAGCAAATGTAATTAAATTTATTCTTAAATGCTTTTATAGTATGCGGAAGTGATTCCTGCTATTAGACAGAAGGTTTGGGAGTATATACAAGTTTTTTCATATCTTGTTCTTGTCTGATCAAACTAACGTAAGTTTTCACAAATATTTAGAAGAAAATCAACGGATTGGGTAGCTTATTTTCCTTTGGAATGGGAGTGAATAAATGGTGTTTAATGTTCTAAAGCTTCTGCTATGATATACAGCGAATGGTTCATGATAATCACCGCAATTGTCTAACGAGTTTTATCAGTTAAAAGAAACATTAATTAGGAATGCAGTTTCAAGGATTGAATTGAACTTTCTATTAAAAAAACTGCCTTTGAAATACAATATACGTAAGTCAGACTTGGAAAACATTCTGAGTTTCATGTATCATCAGAAAATGACAATATATTTGTATTTTATTGTTCACTATGAATTTTTCGTGCTATTAGTTTTTCTTTTATTAGAAGCAAAAAAAAAATGAATGAGAGAAAGTTTGTGTTTTGATGGTACCCTGAGAAAAGCTTGACTTTATAAATTCCAGAAATAATGAGGATGTAATTATTCAAAGCCACGGATAGTATTTCAGATTTTTGTATAGAATACTTTTCTATTTGTCTATTTGATGCCTTATTAGCGTCATGTTCTATTTTGATGCCACAAAAAGGGCTGCATTCAAAAGAATGAAAGATGCTTTTTAATGCACCATATACATTTCTCTTAATACTAATTAATGCAACATTTTAAAAACGCAACCTATTTGGTAGCACACACAAGAATAATAAGAAATAAAAAATTGATGACTCTTCGTTCGATGCTATTAGGCAAAAATAACCATTAAGGACCCTAGACAAAAATTATTTTCAGTCTCTCTCCAGTCTCACCGAGTATTTCAGAGTCTTTCAGCGTTTCTGAGAGCGTCTCTCGTAGAAAGACTGGGATCTCTGAAATATGTTGAACTTAGAAAAGTTTAATCATGTCTATCGAGACATCAGTTATTGAGAGATTCGAGTCTCTCGTTCAGAGATTCGGGTCTCTCGCTCAGAGACTGGATACGAAATGAGGATCTCTTTATGAGCGACTCGAGTCTCTCCTTCAGAGATGCTAAACAGTTTTTTTGACAGTCTCTTGACAGTCTCTCTCAGCGACACCAGTGAGACTCGATTTAGAGACGGAGACTCGAGTCTCGCTATCAGAGACTCTGAGAGACTGAACATTTTTATCTCGAGGCACATTCCAGAATTACCCAAGGTATTGGTAAGGTGTGATTTAAACATGCACTTGATGTGCAAAATCGTGTAAACACTTTTTACACGTTTAAAACGTGTTAATTATTAATACGCGAAAAGTGTGTAAATTGAACACATTTAATGCGTGTATTTTGAATAGACGAAATATAAATTATAAAGCAAAAAACTACGTCTGGGATAAAAATAGAAAAATAAAGATATAATATTCCTGGAAAGACTGCGAATGACATAGATTGGATTTATATGTATTCAGTAATCCCATATTCTGCGAGTTTGAGCCCTGTCGATAACTTATTACTTTTTAATAATCTTTTCTATATCTTTCATACCTTCATTGGAATTCGATTTTGTAATTTTCTTTCATCCAAAGAAAGCGTAGGTAAACGGAATTTAAAAACTGATTCCTGAAGTTAATAGTTATTATTGAAACCAGTTGTAGGCATTATGTCGAAACATATAGACTGAAAGATCCCTATCGAAGACAATTTATTATCATAACTTCCTATATGTGTACATAAATTGTTTCAGAGTTGTTGAACCACTGGGTAGTAGACGACCATGGAAAAAGCATAAAACTCCATCTTTGTACAACAATAGTTATTGTAGGTACTGTATGATCACGCTAGTAGTAAATATTTACCTTGATGATATACCTGTGGGTTTTATTAATCAAAATTTCGAAATTTTGATAAAATCGGCAAGCTTTTGTGTTAGAAACATTCTTGTTTGACGAATATAATTAAAAAGCTTTTATCAAAAAATAATACCTACATGGTTATAAACTTATAAAAATTGGTTTTTTGATTTAGCTGGGGCTTCCTAATACCGTCCAAAAAGGATTTTGATTGCAATTGACAATTCCTTAACCATTCAAACTCGGAAAGCGTAACCCACTGTACTTATAATGATTTTCTATACAGCAGGGACACTCATTTGATTTAATGTAAAATGCCGGCGTTTTTGCAGGCGGTCATAAATCAACCTTATGTATCTATGTTGAACAGCTATATACGAAGATGGTTGAAGTGACCCTACTGTACAGAATATTTTTTATACCGTCCTTTAGGGGTTATTTTAGTAACTTTTTTCCTGCACCCCTTCGTCTGTATCCTTTTTCTACCTTTCGATTTATCATAGGCATGTTTGTAGAATAAACTTAAAATATGATTTCTTTTTCTTTTGACTGTCCCCATCGAGGGGAAGCTTTTCCCACCTTCTTCTACTTCCTTCACTTCCTTTAAAGCTAACTCGTTTTTTATCCTTTTATTTTAATGATAGTCGACATTAGCAAGATAATAGAATGGCTTTTCTTGAGCCCACCAAATTTATTGATTCCGTACTTCGCCTTCCTAAATTGACTCGGCGTGGTTAAAATCCTTCATGCTGCGCTGCATCGATGCTGTTTCATCATCGCCATTCGCTTTGTTCTCACATTGGAAAATAAATAAGGAAGTTGCTTAAAGGATACAACAATCCATTAAATAACTTTTCGCGCTGCTGCTGCTGCTGTTGTTGTTGAAGACGTTGCCGTTATGAACATCGCACAATGCCGGAAGTTTTTTCGCGCTTTAGCTATAGGAACGGCGGCTCAGGTCACCGTTGGAAACTTCTCGGACGGATTTACATACGACCAACCGACCGTACGTAAAACGTATCTTTCGATAGCTCGCAGCAAATCCACAATTCCACCACAAACATACAAGGGAAAGTGGTTTTGCAAGTCCGCGTTTAGCTGTTTGTAGTAGGATCACCTTGACACAGTCTATGTAGATGGAAAAGTAAAGTAAAGATCTTTCAGTATACGAAGTTTCTTCGGTGTATCCTGTCGTCGGTTGTTCATAGAACCAATGGACTGTTTTGTTTCTCACGATCAGTATCAATCATTGCGATATTGCAATTCGTATCGATCTTAATTCGTGTTTGCGGATCGGTATCATTTTCCTTTTTAAGTGACGGTCGCTTCCTCTTGTAGGAAAATAAATCAGAAGTTTAATAAATAGTAATCAGACAGTGATTTTGGTAATTTTGGTTGATCGCAGACCGTTGTGCCTTCCAATTAACTGGAATAATTTTGCGTGCAAGCGTACAAGTGAAAGGTAGGAATGCGCTAAACGGTTTCTGGTCTCAGTTGTCTTAAGTATATCGTCAGTAAGGCGAAAATATTTATGATCTTTTTGATAAGACACGTTTGAAGAAGTCCATTCTTTGGAACTTGATGGTAGATATTCTCTAAGCACTTTCTAGGTTTAGTCTTACAATACTTTGCATGCATTAATACTTATTGTATCTGTCGTATTGACAGAATTGCCGGGCTTACCATTTTCTTTAGAAATAAAACTGGTGGCCAAGTGCGAATTTCAGTTTTTTTTTTGAGCAACAATTAGAAACAAGATTTTATTTTCTGATAACCAGACTTTTAAAATGATTCTTTCACGAACTAAACGAAATTCTGGAAAACGAAACATTTTTATGGTGCCATTCTGGTGAAGGTGGTTTTATCTATTGTATTTTTGAATAGTATCTTTACATTGCTTCCATTCCGTTATCAAGGAGTTTTACGATTAGTCCCAGGGGTGATTCGTCCCGGGCGGAAGTGAACCCATTATATCTAATTGTACATACTTTGTTATCTTATATTGAAAACTATTTCTATTCTTGGAAGAATGTGTAATCAGCAACAGTTGTCTTTAACGGTACCCAAAAGAATTTTGGCACTTTACCTGAGACAGTTTACTACAAATAGATACCTACAGTGTATTTCCTACCTCACCTTAAAAATACATCGATGAACCTCAAACTTACACTATAAAATGTAATGGTATTTCCTAGTTTATTATCAGTAGTTCCTAAAAAGGATATTACCTAATAGATTCATTAGCGCCATTATATGAAGTTATATTAGCAGAAATTTGTTTGTTCATCACTGAAAATCAGTAGAAAAATTTAGATATTTGAACAGTAACAAGGACAACAATTTTAACAAGATTAAAAGGTTGGTTATTCATTATACCTTTATTAAACCAGAAAGCATACCCTGTATTCTTTTTTGTTTGGTTATGGACCCTTAAAACCTGTTCTATTCTACCTTTAAACAGAGAGACAGACAGACAGAGTTAAGAGTCAAATAGTTTCCTTTATTTGGTCAAAAATTCTGTTTCCTCAACGGAAAAGAATCCGTTTTTAGGGTACCGTACGTTCGAATGAAAAACTGAACCCTTACAGGATCACTCATGTGTCTGTCTGTCCGTCTGTCATAGTCAATTTGCTCCGAATCGGCTGGACGGATTAAGATGAAATTTAATACATCTATGAATTTCTGTGATCCAAACACTGACGCATAACGTAAATAAATTAGTTTTGAATATAGGGGTCATTTTTGGGGGGCCAATACGAAATTTAAAAAAAAAATGTTTTACAGACTGTACCGTGTGACACATCAAATAAAAGGGCTTGTTGTAAGGGCCTCAAATACAATTTTTATAATTTTAAAATAAATAATTTTAATGTTATTTAACAAAATAGATGAAAGTTGAGAATTCCCCCCCGTATCTCCGAAACTACTGAACCTAAAATTTTGAAAAATTATGAAAAAATGTTCTTTACTTATAGACTTCAGGAAAATTAATAAAAAGTTTGTGGTCTGAACATAATGTGGTAAATTCTTCAACAAAACAAAAATGTTTTCTCGACGACAATGTTAAGTTGGTTCTCGGGTTAGGGTTCGGTACGTCCGAAAGAACAACGGAACCCTTATAGAGCCCCTCATGTGTCTGTCTGTCCGTTTTTCCAAATTATTTATTCCTTTGTGTGAACTTTTTTTAATGGATTATCATTTCCGCTTGTGTAAAAGCGATCGACCGTCTAATATTCAAATGAATAATAAGAAAAATTCCGTTAATAACTCGTTAGTTTGGCGTCAAGTTTAATCCAATTAATCTAATTACTAATAGAAATCAGGTCAATAGGATTAATTTTGCTCTTGGTCGTAACTGTTCCGATTCAAAAACTATTTATCTGTACAATTTACGTTACATCTCCTTACATTAGGAGTTCTTCATATACAACATTAATTAATTAAAGCAAATAGTTGATTTACAATTCGCATGTGGAATTAGTGTGGTACGTAGAACGGCCGTAGTGGCAGACTCGGCAATTACCTTGTACTTTTTTAATTGGAATATTTTAAAATGCTGTCAGCGATGCCCACTCTCCGTAAATATAAAAACGAAAGATAATGCACAAAACGAAGTCACACGTAATAAGAGGAACAACGATTACATCCATCTAGCGAACCTCAGCTTATAACCGCTCTATTTACAACATCTGCATTTCAAATTATGGAATAAATTTTCTTCGACCAAACGTGGACTGCCTCTTAACATTTATTTATTCCTGTACATATGTGTGTACATGTACATATATATGTACAACATGGTTAAATACTACAAATTAACAGTAACACCACCAGTTTCAACGAGTGGTTGTTACTAATCCAAAATCTGCTCAGTATGTTCTTGATTTTCTAGTTGAACGGTAAGTTTTAGTACGCAATACATAGTTTGTAGTGGTACAAGTGAAAAAATATTCTCTATGATATCAACCAGTAGGTATTCTATAAAGCAATCCAAAGGGTATGTTACAATCCATTAGATTTAGTCCCAATTAGTATGAGTACATGCCATATTCTTAAACAAAAATATCAGAAGTCGTTTAAAAGTTACAAATTAACACAGGTTTTTATTAAAACACAATTTCTAAAGAATCATACCGGATTCAATTCATAAGTTACCTACTGTAGTATCAGAAAACTAACTTAAAAATCATCTAGACATCGTCAAATATTACTAACTGACATGTTAGTTTTATAATAAAGGATAAGTTGAATGAGTAATGCATGATTTAATCCAAAAGGTATAGCTGAGGTTACATAAATCTATTTGTTATTATATTAAAAGAAGCTAGCTTAAAAACCATTTTGTTTTCATCATATATATTACTAATTGACATGCCACTGTTATAGCGGACATTAGGTTACATTAGTCATTCGTGATATAATCCATTAGGTATAGATATTTGAAATTAGAATTAATAACAAATCCTCATGCTACTATTATAAAACCATCATAAAAATTACTGTTGCTATTGACAAACATTACTATTTAACATGGTAAATGTACAGTAGCATCATATTTTAATAGTCAAACGTGATGTAACACATCATCAGATGTAAGTCAAACTAGATTTAGTAACCAGTTGACAAGCATCATTCGTCAAGTCTTAGTAATTGACATTCCCGTTTTATAAGAGTCGTGAGTATAATTTGATAATCCATCATAGGTAATTAAAATTAGAATTAATAATAAATCCACACGTTAAATGATAAATCATCCTACATCGCTAGACAAAAATTTTCAGTCTCTCTCCAGTCTCCCAGAGTCTTTCAGGGTCTTTGAGAGCGTCTCTCACAGTCTTTCACAGTCTCTCAGTTATTGCCTAGACTCGAACGATAAAATCGTTAACTCAGAGATTCGAGTCTCTCACAGAGAGACTGAATTAATAAAACTGAAAAATTGAGAGACTCGAGTCTCTCCTGGAAAGACTGAAATCTTTGAAATATGTTGCACTTAAAAAATTTTAAGCATGTCTATCGAGACACCGCTTATCGAGAGGTTCTAGTCTCTCGTTCAGAGATTCGAGTCTCTCGTTTAGAGACTGTATGCGAAATGAGGATCTCTCTATGAGCGACTCGAATCTCTCGTTCAGAGACGCTAAACAGTTTTTTTGACAGTCTCTCGACAGTCTCTCTCAGCGACACCAGAGAGACTCGATGACTCTAGTCTCGCTTTCAGAGACTCTGAAAGACTGAACATTTTTATCTCGGGATATCATTGGATATCACTAAATGACATGCCGGTTTTTAAGGGGCTTCTTCTTTAAAGAGCCATACGTAACATAATTAATTAAGTATAATTGAAATTCGAATTAGTCACAAATTTACAAAGTATGCTAATAGAAAAGAGATTCATATTAGAAATCTATATATACTCAGATATTACTAACTGACATGCCAATATTATGAAAGCATCATGTGTACTGCATCATGATTCATGCAAAATATACAGTTTATTACGTATAATTGAAATTAGAATTAGTAATGAATTTTAACACTACTACAGTAGAAGAAAACTTACTCACTACAGATTGTTGCTAATCCTACAGATGGCGCTCACCACGCCATTTGTAGTATTTTCTAAAACGCGCTGTTAAGACAGCAGGTAAAGGTTGGTCTGTGTTCTGTCGGAGCTGCCCGCTACGCGCTGATGAGATCCAAAAAGATCGAAATCGCGACCCGCGTCTGGCAGTTTCGACAGAATACAGACCACTTCGAATTATTTTGTTCGATTATGGTGACGTGCCTATCACGTTGAGGGGAGCTACGCCGGGATTCGTTTCAGCAAGTAGATATCCATATTTTTAAATGGATCTTGCTGGAGCATACGTAATCCTAAAATGTAGCATCGTACTACAGATGGCGCTCACCACGCCATTTGTAGTATTTTCTAAAACGCGCTGTTAAGACAGCAGGTAAAGGTTGGTCTGTGTTCTGTCGGAGCTGCCTGCGACGCGCTGATGAGATCCAAAAAGATCGAAATCGCGATCCGCGTCTGGCAGTTTCGACAGAATACAGACCACTTCGAATTATTTTGTTTGATTAAGGTAACGTGCCTATCACGTTGAGGTTGGCTACGCCGGGATTCGTTTTCAGCAAGTAGATATCCACACAAGTGGACCTTGTTGGAGCATACGTAATCCTAAAATGTAGCATCGTGCTACAGATGGCGTTTACTGCGCCATTTGTAGTATTTTCTAAAACGCACTGTTAAGACAGCAGGTAAAAGTTGGTCTGTGTTCTGTCGGAGTTGTCTGCGACGCGCTGATGAGATCCAAAAAGATCGAAATCGCGATCCGCGTCTGGCAGTTTCGACAGAATACAGACCACTTCGAATTATTTTGTTCAGTCCAAATGCATATGTTACAGATAAAACATATCTGAAAGTAGTATGCACGATGGGTTTTCTCATAATAGCAATTCCCCCTCATTTCCTAATTGAACGTTTCCAGAATCATATACAATAGCTACGTTTTGTTCGTATTCAACGTAATAGATTCGTGTGCATCGTTAATACCATTGCGGAAAACAGTTTTATCATCAGGAAGCTTTCTTATGGAAACTTGTCAAGTGACTGCTACTTAAATGACAAACAGAAAAATTTTCTCGTTGTGGTTTACATTGGAAGCGAAAAAAAGATATGCGGAAATTATCCAAGTGTTTATTGTCTTTCAGAACTGAATACAAATAGCTGTTTAGCTCTTCTTTCTTCTTCAGTTGTATAAATAACTTTTCCGATAAGCATTTTCCCGTTTATTACGGCAACTGTGGTGGAATGTGAAATTAACAATTCCAATGATGAATATTTACCATAGAAATATAACGGTGCCGGAAAATGTTACATTCTACTTTCATTACTATTTTACACTTTCATGTACAGTTTTCTAATGTCAACTCGTCTTGATAACAAATGAAAGTGTCTACTACATATATATATATATATTATAATTTTTCCCGTAAGGAAAGTGTAACAAGTTACAAGTTCAGTGGAAATTAATTTTGGTTGAAGGAAAACCTAAATGCAAATATTTATGAACTTCTCTTTTATTGGTGCGTTTCAAAAAATGCCGCAAACGGCGTAGTAAACGCCATCTGTAGCACGATACTACATTTTAAGGTTACGTATGCTACTACAAGGTCCACTTGTGTGGATATCTACTTGCGGAAAACGAATCCCGGCGTAACCAACCTCAACGTGATAGGCACGTTAGCTTAATGGAATAAAATAATTCGAAGTGGTCTGTATTCTGTCGAAATGCTGATGAGATCCAAAAAGATCGAAATCGCGATCCGCGTCTGGCAGTTCCGATAGAATACAGACCACTTTGAATTATTTTATTCGATTATGGTAACGTGTCTATCACGTTGAGGTTGGCTACGCCGGGATTCGTTTTTCGCAAGTAGATATCCACACAAGTGGACCTTGTTGGAGCATACGTAATCCTAAAATGTAGCATCGTGCTACAGATGGCGTTTACCGCGCCATTTGTGGTATTTTCTAAAACGCGCTGTTAAGACAGCAGGTAAAAGTTTGTCTGTGTTCAGTCGGAGCTGCCTGCGACGCGCTGATGAGATCCAAAAAGATCGAAATCGCGATCCGCGTCTGGCAGTTCGACAGAATACAGACCACTTCGAATTATTTTTTTTCTTTTATTGTTTTATTTTTCATTTTTACGACACCGTAACAGTCCTAAATGCAATCCTGGTGTAATAGTTGTGGTGAAAATGAAATTACGAGACAGTAAAACGAATACCTAATAATTCCTGTTTAATCCTTCGGTAAACAGGATCAACTCTGAACTAATTTAAGCTTAGCTTAGTACCTACACCTGCATAGCAGCTCTGTACGTAGATCAAACGTTAAAACAATTAATTTGTTTCAGATCTGAGCGTGCATTTCTGGAATAATACATTCGACTCCTGCGAACTTTAATTAAATTCTCTCGGAGCGGCATTGTCTTCATTATCACCGCTTCATGAGCCCATAGAAAAAGAACAAGAGAGTAGAAACACGGATCAAGAACAGCACAGCGTGTCCAAAAGGTGCTTGCTGCCGCATGTGCCGACTAGTCTATCTACTCTTCGTTCACTTGTTATTTCCTCCTTCCTTCCTTTCACATTTGCTATCTTACTTACGCGTATTACTTCCTAGTGCTGTGTCTACACGTAATCCGCGAAACACGGTTAATTAACATTGTTTAATTTACACGGCGTGCATTCGTGACGTTTAGGATGCGCTACAGTTGAAGTAATTGATACAGAACTTGCCATTTGTGCTTTTCAACATTGCAAAAGTTTAAATACATCGGAAGAATGGAGACCGAAGAATTAATCAAATTGGTTGATGGAATATACAAGGTAAGATTTTGAATAAAGCGTTTAATTGATTATTAAATGCAATTAATATAAGTTATGAGTTGATTATTTACATTTTTGTTCATAATTTTACTGCTGGCATGTTTGTAGACATGACTTGATATTTGTCTGTTTTAAGATTCTTAGAAGGCTTTTTAAGATTACTTGTCGATTTATTATCAATATAATCACCGATGTAGGGAAAATGTATTGAAAAGTGCAGTTTTCTAATAAAAATTATTTTTGATTTCTTCCGTAGAATTTTTAAAAGTTCCTTATTACATTTTTTCCGATATTGAAACGCTTTTGAAATGTTTTCCTTTTGTTACTTGAAGAATGCTTTTCCGAAGTCATTGATCTCCTTATATGACTAATTAAAGTTAATTACTACAAAGTACAAAAACAAAGGAAGTGATAGTACATTCTTTGCTTAATGTGATTTTGTTTCCATATAGGTGGGTACTTTGGGGCCTTAAAATTTTTAGGGATTTCGAAGTCAAAATCATTTAAAATTGATTGGAAATTTATTAAGGCCATTTAGTTTTTACTTTTCTAGTTATTTGTACAATAGGTATAGATAGTTAGTTCATATAATTACTAAATATTTCGTTGAAAAGATACCATCAGGGAAGATTTGGTAATTAAATATTTTTATCGAAAACGTTTTTCGAGCTCGTTACATAACAGTTTAATTATCTATTAAGTAGATATTTGATCGAAAATTCTGGCGAGTGTAGATACTTATTAGTCACATAAACTCATTATTATACATAGATAACCTAGTAATTAGAGCATTTACTTTTACTTCGCCTTTAATTACCAACGCATGGTAATTGGATTGATCGTTGTCTTAATTCGAACTACAGCACTGATGTTTATTATATTATTTAATTGATGATATGATATTTTAATAAGCTAAATTCATTACAAATGCTTACTGTCATTCTTGTTAATTATTTAATATTTCACAATAAACGTTTACTTAAATTTACTGTCAGTATTTCTGAATGTAATGCGCATGCGCAGAAATTTATGCACAGTCGGTAATTCCTGCGATTAAACTCACTTAATTCCGCAATGTAGAAATAAGTCTTTGGAATTCATGGAATTCCAACAGGTATACACCATTTCGACGGTTACATAATCAAGAAGAAAAACGGGAAATTTCATAATTTTCACCTGTCACCAGGAAAAACAAATAATAAGCATCGATTGAGTAAACAAGCGGAACAAACCAAACTTCAATTATATCACAGTGCAAATATGTAAATCCGACTTTCATTTATCGGATAATCTGTTACGTGCGCCGTGAAATGACGCGTACGCAAAATATTTGATAAATGGTTATAATCGACTTAAAAAAAGAGGAAGCGCTTTGTTATTGTTTGTTCAACCCGTCACGAGGCTCACCGGAGTAGGGACGTGTAGCTTTCTATAATAATTATTTTTTTTTTAAAGCGCCATAAATCAGGCTCAAACGGTTGCTGGTAAAAATTACTTGCTACTTAAGTTACATCAAGTTTTTTATTACTATATATTACGTATTGTAATTTCTTTAATCTTAATTGTAAAAAAATAAAAAAAAAAGACGAGCGTGTATTAGTGTACCCACCTGCACTCGCAAGAAGTGAATCTTCCTTAGATTGTATATTATAGTAGTATATACTGTTTAGTTTTAGTTTAGTTACGCTTAAACCATACAAAACTGCAGAGAGTAATTACAAACCAAAACAAACAGTCACAAACACGTATGTAATACATAGAGTACAGTGGAGGCGCGATCTGCCGACAATTTGTCGAAATGTCAATTTTATTATCGGATTATTGATTGTTACTAGCAGGTTAGCTTCTAAAGCTCGTTAAAATGGCTCCTTTTGGATATATCCACCAGGCGCGTAACGCTGTGACGCGTGACGTTACATTTTTCTGTTTTATACCTTAGTAAATTTCCTTTCCACCGTCGATAAAGAAGTTTCACTTCAATAAAAATGATATTGAACCAAAGAAGCTTTTAGTCAATATGGAAACTCGATCATTATTAGAGATGGGCCGGGTACCGGGTTTGGATTCGGCCGGGTACCAGATAATGACGCCCTCTCATTGAAAATCTGCCAACCAAGAATTAAAATTTAATTTTTTAACGGCTTTTTGAACGGGACTTAAAGTGGTTTGGGACGTTGATGAATTTAATGATTATCCTGTACCCGGCAAAATAATATCCTGTGGATCTCTAGTATCTATTATTGTACTATCACAAAAAAAGTAATGTACACGCCACTGAATATACTCTGTTAATTTAATATTGTTGTTTACAAAAATTTTTGTATTACCTACAGTCGCCTATGGGTTCTCATATAATAAAAGTACAACTTGTTCATTATATTTTTCCTTTCGTTGGTGGATTACGATCTAAACTTGATGTGGTACACCCAAAAAAATGTCATTAATTTTTAATAACCCACAAACTTTCGAGAAAATGGTTTTAATTACCACATAAACATCATACCGACTTCAGTTCTTCATATAAATTATGAATCTTAACATTCCAATGCGCAGCGTTAATGAGACCCTTTCACTTCTTCCTCGTGTTTTTTTTTTTATGATCATGTTCGCTTATATACTCGTACGAATACATAGAAAAATATACGTATGTACAAATGCACGTATGTCTAACCGTGAGCACAATAGGAATTCTTCTTCTATGCCTACGCGTTTATTAGAAATATAATAATTGGCACATTACGCAACGAACTGGCAAGGTTCGTTGAATATTTCAAATTAGTCCTTATTACGTTTTCATCTAATGAGATAAGAATTAATTAAAATATAATTGATGAAATTAGTAATTATTTAATTTGCTTATGTCAGTCCCACGTTCGCAGAAGGGATATAAATACCCCGGAATTTATGAAAAAATTTCCCCTAGCAAAAATATTTATTGTCGCATATATGTATGAAGCTATACTCAGACTAACAGATAAATACGTAGGACAAAGCGGTCAAGCTCTAAATGTAAGAATAAACGAACATGAATGTACCAGTATTTAATTATAATTTAGACGTTTTTATACTTTGTAAAAGAAAGCCAAATTGTAAATGTAAAAAATATAAAAATAACAAAAATAACAAAAATATTATTAACTATTGAGTAGAAGTTACTGTGATAAACACCCATCTAAAAAATTAATTTACGTCTTCTCATAAACGATTTTTATTTTATGATTATTAGAGTGGTAATAACATTTTAGAAGTATCTATCTTCACTTAGATAATGAAATTATAAGTTCGGTTATAGGTCCATACAATAATTTTCGGGGAATTACCGACTGATTACCGTTACAACTTAATACCAAATACGAGTTTTCGGAAAAGCATATGTCAGAGTGGAGCATCACTTCAAACCATAAAACACTTTTATGAATGCTAATAATCGTTTGTTTGTAGTCATTACTTAATATGTACCTACGCAATAATACTACTAATTAGCATATTTATATATACTTACTAGGAAATTATACAAACATACACGTAAAAATCGAAAACGGTAATTCTAAACCTTATCAAAGCTATTGAAATTCAATTTCGTTTATATTATTGATCTGTTATCGAGCATTTTTTTAAAAGGCCATTATCTTTTTAATTGTACCTACACATCTATTTACACTTAAAGTAATTATTCAGTTATTAAATAATTACTGTAAATTCTAACGTATTTACATGAAAAAATTAAGCATTAAATTGCGGAAATAATGGCGTACCTTGTATTTTATTTTATCACTAAATGCCTCATTATGAAGTGGAAATAGATATTAACGGTGATATAGAAATTTGTGGATACCTAGTTAGTGTTAATGTATTGTATACAGTTTATCATTATGCTTAGTGCTGATTATAGGATAGATAGTTATTAATTATTACTGGTAATTAATTTTTACTTTAGATTTATGTAAGTTTTTGTGGCAATAGAAAAGAGAGTGTAGTACTCCACCTGGTGGCCTTTATTTTAAGTAACAGATAACAATTTTACGATTAGAATATTTGTGAAAACATACTGCTGTAACTTCATATGATGAGATCAGACAATATTAAAACTGCAATCTAAGACTGGTAATTTTAAATACTAAGAACTTATTCCATTCTTATTACAAAGTTGTAGGAAAGTTTAAGGACATAGCTTGAGAATACTTTATGCGAATGATGAGGATTCCGTGGATAGAGAAGGTTAGAAATGAAGAGATATCAGAAAGAATAGGAGAACAGAGGACTATGAAAGTCAATTAGAAATAGGCGAGATAGGTTGGTAGGACACCTTCTGAGGCATGAAGATCCAGTCAGAAACATATTAGAGGCAGAAACAGAAGTTAAGAGGAGCAGAGGTAGACCTAGATTAGATTATTGTTCACAAATAGTTAAGGATGTGGGATGTGCGTGTCTAACCAGTCTTAAGACTGACGACCTTATGATAATGATGTTTTGTTTAGTTTACTCCTAAAATAATTTTCAAACAACTTTTCCTGATAGCTCAATAGAAAATAATAAATAGGAACAACTGGTTTATGATTAATTAGTTCCATTTCTAACGTTATTAATCATTTGTTCGCTTAGTTAAAGGTCAGTGGTTCTGTATCAGTTAATAAATTGCTGTCAGGTATTTATCGAAAATTGTAGTAGGTCTTTATGCGTTTTAGTTACAATAATATCACCGATAAACGATAAAATCCAAAACCAGAAGGTTAATTAATATCTTGAGGTAGAAATCAACCAATTACTTATGCATCAGAATCAAGGAGCGGCCAGGAATGCGTTGATTCAATCTGCTTTACAGATCCGGTTCATTATTTATACAAGCATGTACCTATATAAAAAGAAGATTCAGCGCATACTTGACACCTATAGATGACAATAATAGGTAATCTTGCAGTATGTCGCATCTCTGTTGTGGAAAATATTTCACTTTACAGAATGCAAATCTGTTATGTTGTTGTTCGACACATTCTCAGGTA